TTTTTGATTCCTACTCTAAGGTTTTAATATGTAGAGCTCGGTAGGGATCAAACATGGCATACTTGCATTCACATTTATTACTAAGTCAAAAACTTAGATTAAAGCAGATAACTAAACATACTCAAAATCAAGATTGTGCAAAAAATGTGTGTGGTATATGGTGGAAATGATATATGAAGAATAAAGAAAATGCTTCTCCTTTGTGCTTACTTTCTTATCCCAAAAATCCATTTTTTATTAATTAGGAGAGGGCATGACTACATTTTTTTTCAACATCATGCTCATGCTTGATGGAGCATAACTTTTTTTTTCATAACCATGCCTTTCCCTCCCTTTTTTTTCAAAAGGATATTTTTTTTCTTTAGAAGAAGAAAGCACATGAAAGCATGGAGAATTTATTTTGGTGGTAATATGGGAATGGAATGGAATATTGCCTAGCTCCCCATGTAGGAGTTTGGCATGTGCATATATGTGGGTGTATGATCTTGATCATAGAGCATGAGAAGTATCTACAGAAATCACAAGAGTTTGAAAAAGTTCAATGGAATGGCAAGTAACCAAAGTGTATATGGTTTAATCATGATAGCACATTTTTGGCTCTGGTAGGAATTATATAAATGAGGAACTCTCAATTTATCATTTTGAAAAACAAAACATCTGGAATTCAAGTCAAATTAGTATCAGAATCATAGCAACTCATATTTACTATCTCATATCTCGCAACAACTTAGACTTAGATCAGCAAGTGCAGCTCATTTACCTCATGTTCCCGGATAATTGTTGGCTACTTATATTTGACCTTTGAGAGAGCACTTACCAAGAACCCATATATCAGAGATATAAAATAGAGCAACTATTCATCATTTCAACAAAGAGAACTAGCTTGTCTTACCTAGCATGACTCAAACCTATCCTATCTTTTTGGTATTTTCTATTTTGCAAATTTTTATGTTGTTTTCATTTTTATAAGATGCAATTGGAAAGCAAATATGCAATTGAAAAGGGAAATATGCAATGTGATACAAGTTACCTCAGTGGGGGGAGAGATATCTCCCCCAAGCTTGGCTTTCGCTCAGGGTCCTTGATAAGGATTGAACCCCTAAAAACGGAAGTACGCTTGAAGGTCATCGTGCTGTTGCTGCATCATGTTGTTGAAGTTGGTGAACTGCGCATCAACAGATTGTTGCCATTCTTGCGTTTGAGCTATGTGTTCCGTGAGGTTGTACTGGGTCTCTCCCGTCTGCATATCAAGGATGTCCATTCTCCTAGTGATTTTACCCAAGTCCCAACGAGAGAAACTTGAGCGCCATTCACTTGGAGATGGAGACACACCACTTGATCTGGAAGGTTGGTTGTCCCCCCATTGGATGTCATGAGGCGCACACCACCGGTCATCACTGGCACTCGCCCAGGTTGAGACTCCAATGTTGTGGCGTGGAGCTTGGGTCCATCCGGGTGCGTCCCCAGTTGGCTCCCAACCCACCTCATACATCTTCACGGGTGTTGAGGATGATGAACTTTCTCGTTCATTTCTTGCCATGTTGCGCGTCTCCCTATATGCTCCACCTGCACGAGATTCTTCTATGGTCTGCAAGGGAATGGTTAGTTCACGGCAGTTGTACAAATGATACCTTGTATTTGGCAACGGGATTTCATTTGTACAACCGGCGAAAAAGTAAATAAAAAATCCATCTACTCCATGTTTCAAAATATGCCATTGCACTAGATAAGCCTCATCAGTTCACGAACGAGCGGCTGAGATAAAAGCAATTTGGTCGCTAACGACCCCTAGCCCTTTTGCTATCCGAGTAATCAGAGAAGTGCACTCAACAGGAGCAGATGACTTTATACTTTCTAACCATTACCTTATCATACATTTCACAGGAGCAATTTTGATCTTTCTAACCATGGCAAACATGATAATCAATTCATCTCCCCTAATGGGCCCCAGATCACCTCTAGGAAACAAAGTCATAGCAATCCATTTGTGCATGAGCCTAAGTATAGGATTATGGATATCATTCGTTCTAGGTTTCTTGCAAATTGGAGCACCAGAAATGTCTTCCCAAAACCTATTTTTCTCGAACCCAGAAATTCCTTTCTGGAGATTGATTTTATAGGAATCGTGAAAACCAAGAAGTGTACTTAAGCCTTTCCATGTTAGTGTAAACTCCTCACGGAAAAAGCGAAAGGAAATACCATCTTCTATTTCTTTCAAAGTGCACAGAAATTGCGAGGTAAGCAAACGAGAACCAGGCTCATCTACCACAGCAAATCTCTGCCAACCAACAGCTTTCCAAATAGAACAAAATTCAATATCCATACCTATCTTTTTCAGCAGCTCCTGAGAGTATTCTCGCGTGTGAGCATACTCCCGGTCGCTCAGCATGTAGTAGGCTTGTCTCTCCCGATCACTGACAATGTCGAGGTCGGTGTCGTTAAGGAGTCGTTGCGGAGCTTCGGCGTCTTCCATCAAGGCATCTGCTGATGAACGAGTACTAGACTCGTCATGATGACTTGATGAAGAGCCGGACCCCTTGAACAGACGAGACAGTCGCCTCCTCATTCTGCACAATCGAGCAAGAACGGACTAACTCGGCGGGGGTTAGGAATGACAAGAATTTCACCCGCCGGTTAGTTTCATCAAAGCAACTTGTATATATGCAACTAAGTGTTTGAATTTGAGGGAAACTATCAAAGCTTGAATGAACTTCAGAGCAAACTTTGGAGAGGGAATGAAAATGTCTTGAAATGGGGTGGAATTCCCTCTCTCGGCCGGCTGGCTTTTATAGGGTACCCACAACGGTCAGAAATGACATGTGCGACCCACTAGCCGTTACCCTGCCAAAAGTGGAAGGGAACCGTTGCCTGGCCGGTTCGGCCGAACCCACGGTGGGCCCAACCGGCCCCACTTTCGGCCGTTGGGTTCCAACGGTCAATGTGGTCATGGCACAACAAATTTTCGTTGAAAATTTTATTTTGGTTTGCTCTGAAAAATTCGTTTGAAGAATTTCCTCAAAATTCAAAAATCCTAAATGCAACTTTGAAATTCAAACATGTGATGATGCAAAAATTCAAATTGTTGAAAGCAAATATGCGGATACATACCAATTTTCCTGTTGGCGAAGGTCGCGTCATTTAAAGTCCGACGTGCAAGACTGTACCTCCATCCAGTTCAGTTTGCGGATTTTCTACCCGTCTCCAGAGGTGATGGAGCGGGCATCTTTGGCTTCTCCCTCCACCTTCTTTAGTTTTGGTGCGGACGGCGGCTTCTTCTTAGCCGGCTGCTCTAGTTTCTTGGCCGGTATGGGTGGTTTTACCGGCGTCTTCCAATAACGGTTCCTAAGCATCGTTGTTTCCTTCTCTAGGAAATTTTGCATGAATTTCACCAGGCTGTCCGTCTTGGGTGGCTCCACATCGACCTCTAGAATATTCTATGGGTTCAGCCCGTACTTTATTCTAACTATGGAGCATTATTCCGTCCTCGGTTGAAACTCAAACTTCTCTTCCTTGCCGTTGATGTGGAAACGGATACTCCCCGTTCTGACGTCAATGTTGGCTCCCGCGGTGCTAAGGAACGGGCGTCCCAGGATGAGCGGCGTCTCTTTTCCCGTGTCCATGTCCAGCACCACGAAGTCAACCGGGATGAAGAAATCCCGTATCTTGACTGGCACATCATCCGCTATCCCTGCCGGGTAACGGACAGACGAATCAGCCAGTTGAAGGCGCATTGGTGTTGGTGCCAACACCGTGAAGTTGAGCTTGTCGAAGACGTCTTTTGGCATGATGTTGACACTAGCTCCAAGGTCGCACAAGGCCTGGTCGAACTGTTGTGCCCCGATCGAGCAGGTGATCGTAGGACACCCCGGATCTTTCTTCTTCTCCAGGAGCTTGTGGAGTATCACAGGTTGCTGCATTGTTCCGTCAGCTTGATCACCTCCGTTGTTGGGAGCGATCTCTTGTTGTTGAGTATGTCCTTGAGATAACTAGCGTATGTTGGCACTTGCATGGCGTCCAACAACGGCACGTTGATGTGGATCTTCTGGATTACTTCAACAAAACGAGCGAATTGCTCGTCCACTGACGGTTTCCTACTCCGTTGAGGGAACGGCAGCAACCGTGTGTCGCAGCACTCTTGCGGCACTGTCTTTTCTGGCTGAACTTCCTTGTCAGCCGAGTCATTAGATGGCGCTTCTTTTGATATCCCATTAGTTCCTGCAGGGTTAGGATACGACGGATCACGAGTGGACTTACCTCCCCTCGTCGTGATCGCCTTGACATTTTCAAGGGAGGAGTCGGGTTGCCCCAGAATCCTCCTAGTTTCATTTGCAAGGACTAAGGATGCCAACTGAACTAGCTGGGTTTCTATCATTTTGTTAAAGCTCAGCTGATTTTGAAAAGCAAAAGCAAAGCCATCTAACTTGACATTTATGTTTTCTAGGACCTTGTCATTGGCTGCAAGCTTTTTGCTTAACGCATCAGTGGTTTTAGCTTGCGCAAAAACGAGATCCTTCAAGGAGGGCTGGTTAGAAAAGTTACCGTTGTTGTTACCTCCTTGATAATATGGGCGTGGTTGGTTCCACCCCTGACCTCCTTGTGGACGCTACCCGTTGTTGTTGTTGTCCATGTACATCGCCTCCTCACGGGTTTCCGGGCAGTCATTCCCAGAATGACCCATGTTGCCGCAGACCTCACATGTGACGTGAGAGTCCAAGGCCTTGACAGTGCCTTGTGGCCGTTTCTCGTGGTCACCCAGTCGCTTCATGAGGAGGTCCAGCTTGGCAACAAGTAACTCCGTCTCCTTGACGGTGTGCATGCCTCGCTGACGGGTCTGGAGTCGTTCCTCGCTCCAATCCATATTGGAGACCATCTTCTCTATTAGATCAATGGCTCCTTGAACCGTTTTAGAGAAGAAAGCCCCTCCAGCTGCCGCGTCCAGGTGATCGCGGGACATCAGGGTGAGTTCATTATAAAAGTTCTGCAGGATCAGCCAGTAGTCCATCCCATGATGAGGACAGGCGGCCACGTACTCCTGCAGACGCTCCCATCTTTCTGGAATAGACTCATCTCTTGTCTGCTGGAAACTGGAAATCCTTCCACGAAGGGCATTGGTTTTGCCCACCGGGAAGAATTTCGAGAGGAATGCCATAGAGCATTTATCCCAGGTGTTGACAGCAGCACGGTTGGCATAGAACCACTGCTTCACTCTCCCGAGAAGGGAGAACGGAAACAATTGTAGCCTGACGGCATCGGGACTGACGTCCTTGATGGTGTACATGCTACAGATCTCCAAGAATTGTTGTAGATGAGCATAGGCATCCTCATTAGGCTTGCCACAGAACGGGCTAGCCTGCGCCATCGTGATGAGGCTAGACTTCAAGTCGAAATCTACGTCCCCTATGTTAACCTGCGGCCCAATGGCCACATTGTCAGCAAAGAGAGCAGCGAACTCGCGGAGAGTCTTGTTAGCCATAGTCTTGAAGGTCGGTGGCGCTGGTACGACTGGTTTCTCTGTCGACAGGGTTTTTTACGGAGCAGCGACTAACGGCCAGACGCTCCGGAAGACGCTCCGGAATTGCTCAACGCCGATCACCTCGCCAGCAGACTGGTCAGGCGAGTGGAGGACCAAAAATTCGGTCTGATAATCAACCAAACACCTCGAAATCAGCCAGCCAGTCGGACTCCTGCAAGAGGAAATTGGTTCTGAGTGATGATGAGGGCGATGATGCTGGAAAATCTGGTAATAAAGAGGTGACTGGAAAACAACCAAGGCAAACCAATCCGAAGAAGAAAACGTCCAGTCGTCCCATGCCAAAAATCAGGAAATCTTCCAGGTACGAATCATTTGGCCATCTTCCTCGTATTGCTGCTCACCCACTGTTGAAATAACACTAATGGCATAACTCAAATTCGTAGGAAACCATCTGATATAGATCCTTCCGGAAAAGACTCAGAGCCGACTGACATGGAGACAGGCCCTTCAAAAGAAACCAGGCCAACTGCAGAGGATTGTTCGAGTGACAAACAACCGGCAACCGACAATGTAGAAGCTAGCAATGAGCCCCCGACTGGGAACCAGTCGGCCGAAGCTGGAGCCGATGCTAATCAGGAGCCCCCGACTGGAAGTCGGGTACAGAACCAAATAGAGATATTCCCGAAGTAGAAGCTCAAACGAATAGCCCTCCTAGAAAGGATGCCAGTGCTGATCCAGGGCCCAGCTCTCCTGTCAAAGTACAAGAGCCTGCTCGTCCTCGACCGGAAATTATTGCAGGTAAACACATCCTCCGAACCTGTTTTGATCTGACAGACTTTCTTTTATTGTTTCACCTTTATTCATGAATGCCCAAGGCCCAATGATCAGCGACGAAGAAGAGATCCTTCAGATACGGTCAGCTGAAGATTCTCGCCCACCCATTTTAGTCAAGTGGTGGGATGACGACATGCAACCTCAGGGAATTGTAATAAACAAGCAAAAAGGAAGACGAGGAAGTATGCCTGCTGAAAAAGGCACTCAGCCAAGCCACTCGCATCATAAATGTAAGTCTCCTCATGCATAGCTTCAACCATCCTGTTTGCTACTTTGCTCAAATACCAACGAATTCGTATTGCAGAGAATCCATCTCAGGAACGAAGCGAAGACTGCGACTCTTGAGAGGTTAGTTCCCCATCTTGGAACCCTTGAGGCCACCAGAAATCAGCTGCACGAAGCTAAAGAGCTTGCCAGAAAAACTGAGCATGATCTACGGGACCGAATCGCCGAGCTTCAAGATTCCAACTTTGAGCTGAGCGGTTCGTCAAAAGGTAAATACAATCTCTATCCAACTTACTTATGCTGCCACTCTTGCAATATCAATTAACAAGAAGCAATACAGTGCAAGTTGCTAAGATATCTGAATTGGAAAAACGAATCCAAGTTCTGGAGAATGACAAGGCCGAATTGGCGAGACAAAGGGACTCGGCTCTGAAAGACGTCGAAGGTACTGGTGACTAATACTCCAGAAACTATTCCTTTCCTTGTGCCCACTCATTGATATAAATCTATTTATGCAGATCGCAAAATCAAGTCTCAGGCTCAATTCGATGTCTTGGTCAACAAAATCAAGAGGCTTGAAGGGGCTAGGGATGAAGTCGCCAATGCTGCTACCCCACTCGTCCAAGCCATGTTCTTCAATAACAATGGTCCGAGTACATTTGATGCTTCCGAAATCTTCAACAAGCTGAGAATTACTCCGGATACATACTTTAAGAATATCAAAAAGGCTGGAAGTATGAGAGCAAGCCTGGCGTTGGCAATGACCAAGTCTTTATACCCGAATATCGACATTGACGCCATTGATGGCTTTGCAGATGGGACGAGCGAAGAGGCCGCCCTTGACCTCATCAACGATGCGCAGAAAGCCGCCGATAAGATTGCCGTTGATGTAGTTGAGAGATTCCAGGACAACGACCTTCGGCCGACTAGATCTGATAACTCCGATGATGAAAAAACTGATACTGATTGATGTCATATCATAACAATGATTCTGATGATGATGATGATGGAGGCACAATTTGTACAATACTGATGAATTTATGTTGTGCTTGATATTTCAAACTTAGCTCCTGATTTCTTAAAAGCTTTTGTCAAACCTTATTGAGCCTAAAACCCGTAAAAGTTATTAAAAAACTTTCAGTCCTCATTGACTAAGCCAAAAAATCAAGTAGGGCAATGATAAATCAAGTAAGCAAATTGAATTGATAAAAATCACACTCCATTATTATTATAGTAGCCCCCGACTGATAACTCAAGGAGAAACTTGATGTTAGCAGTCAAAGAGGGAAATACAAAAATAATGCCTAAGTATAAAAACGACGAAGATGTTCAATATTCCAAGAGTTGTCAATAGGAGTACCATCTTCACGCTTGAGTCGGTAAGAACCTGGCCGAGTGACTTCGGAGATTATGAATGGTCCTTCCCACAAGGAAGATAACTTGTGCCGATCCCGTGTAGTTTGAATTTTTCTCAGAACCAGGTCGCCGACTAAACAAGCTCGTGATCGAACGTTGCGATTATGATAACGGTGCAACCCTTGCAAGTACCGAGCCGACTGAATTAAGGCTGCTTCGCGGGATTCTTCCAGTCGGTTCAGATCATCTACTCGGTCTTCTCCGTAGCGCTCCTCGCTGAAGTTGTGAAAACGTAAAGATTCAAATTCCACCTCACTGGGCAACATTGCTTCCGCTCCATAGACTAGGAAAAACGACGACTGGCCCGTGGCCCGACTGGGAGTGGTGCGCAAGGACCAAAGTACAGATGGCAGCTGTTCTACCCACTTGCCGGCATAGGGATTCAGTCGGTCGAAAACTCGTGCCTTTATTCCTTGGAGCACCATGCCATTGGCGCGTTCGACCTGTCCATTGCTCATAGGGTGCGCTACGGAGGCATAACAAATTTTCATGCCGAAGTCTTCACAAAAGTCTTTAAATACTCCGCCAATGAATTGAGTGCCATTATCAGTGATGATTCGATTAGGTACCCCAAACCGGTGCACAATGTTGATGAAAAAATCTCTAGCTTTGCCTGCCGTGATTGTGATGACCAGTTTAGCTTCAATCCACTTGGAAAATTTGTCAACAGCCACAAAGAGGTGAGTATAACCACCGACTACCTTTTTAAACGGGCAGACCATGTCAAGCCCCCAAACCGCAAACGGCCAAGACAACAGGATGGTCTGCAACTCTTGAGCTGGTAGATGAATTTGTCTGGCGAAAAATTGACAACCTTCACATGTCCGCATAATCTTGTCAGCGTTGGACACAGCTGTGGGCCAGAAAAAACCTTGCCGGTAAGCCTTGCCAACAATGGTTCGTGCGGCAGCGTGGTTACCACAGATGCCTGAATGTATATCCTTTAACAATTGTCCCCACTGTTTTCTTCAACAGCTTGAAAAAGGGCATCCCCCGCTCGCCGAGTCGCGAAACAAACCGGCTGAGCGCCGCCATGCAACCAATCAGTTTTTGAACATCTTTCTGGGAACTTGGCAGCTTCATGTTGAGGATGGCATTGATTTTCTCCGAGTTGGCTTGGATGCCTCTATGAGACACCATAAATCCAAGCAGCTTCCCTGACGGTACTCTGAAGATGCACTTTTCAGGGTTTAGTTTCATCCTGAAAGCGCGGATGCTCGCAAAGGTTTCTTCTAGATCTGTGATCAAATCATCCTTCTACTTGGTCTTGACGACTACATCATCCACATAAGCTTCAATGTTGCGGCCGATCTGAGGTGAAAAGCATCTCTGGATCATGCGTTGATAAGTTGCTCCTGCGTTCTTTAATCCGAAAGGCATGGTGATGTAGCAGTAGGCCCCGAAGGGCGTGATGAATGAAGTCTTTAAGCAGTCAGATTCCTTTAGTCGGATCTGATGATATCCTGAATAGCAATCCAAAAAGCTGAGTAGCTCGCAGCCGGCGGTTCAGTCAACTACCTGGTCAATGCGAGGCAACCCGAAGGGATCTTTGGGACAAGACTTGTTGAGATCGGTGTAATCAATACATGTACGCCATTGTCCCGTCTTCTTCCGAACAAGGACTGGGTTGGCCAGCCAATCGGGATGGACTTCCTTAATGAAGCCTGCTGCGAAGCGGCGAGAGTCGTTGCTTGATTGGTTTAGCGTCTTCCTTAACATGTAAAGAGTGCTCAATCACCTCTCTAGGAATACCAGGCATATCAGATGGTTTCCACGCAAAGATATCTTTATTATTTTGAAGAAAGGTGATGAGCGCGCTTTCCTATTTACAATCTAACTCAGCGCCAATTACAGCAGTCTTAGTAGGATCAGAAGGATCTAGAGGAATTTTCTTGGTCTTGGCGTCGCTTTCTCCGCTCTTTGGCATCTTGGTCACAGGCACTTCTCCTTCGCTTGCTGTGGATGCAGCTAGTCGGATTTCTTCTTGGGCGAGCGTGATCTCGCGGGTCTGGGCCATCTCGCAGCTTTCCTTGTCGCATGTGATGGCTTGCTTGATGTCGCTCCGCAGGGATATGACTCCTCGAGGACCAGGCATCTTCATCATCATGTAGGTATAGTGCGGGACAGCCATAAACTTGGCTAACGCCGGGCGTCCGAGT